AAGCACGGAGCGGTGAGGCGGGAAGGATGGAGGGGTGAGGCGGGAGGCAGCTCCGAGCAGGCAATGCCAGAGCTCAGGCCTGGGCAGTGGGAAAGGAACACAGTGAGGCTGGATGGAGGGGGAGGGCAGGGTCAACGCCAACAAAAGCATGTTATGTAAGACCGACACAAGAGCGGAGCAGAATCCCCAGACGCTTCACCCCCAGGGGCCGACCCAGACCCTGGCTAAGGGCAGCAGCCCAGGCGAGGCCGGGCACTGCTTCCGGCCAGCCTGGTCTCTCTGCAAGACCCAGGGCAGCAACTAGGAAGGCCAGTACCAGGGTGGGGGGTGGCGGAGAGCAGACACCTCATCCCTTCATTCCTGGGGCCTCCAGCCACTTCCCAAAAGTGGAAAGGTAGGCTTTTAAAATCAGTTTGGATGGGGCCGGCCCATGGCCGAGTGGTTAAGTTCACACACTGCACTTCGGTGGCCCAGGGTTTCACCGGTTTGAATCCTGGGCACGGACATGGCACCACTCATCAGGCCATGATGAGGCGGTGTCTCACATGCCACAACTAGAAGGACCCACAACTAAAATATATACAACTATGTACTGGGCTTTGGGGAGAAAAAGGAAAAATAAAATCTTAAAAATAAAATTAAAAGCAATAAAATCAGTTCAGAAAAAAACAAGATACCCTTTTTCTCCTGTCTGATGGTCAACAGGAGACAATACTCAAGCCTGAGGTGCTAGTACTGACGGGAGGGAGGGTCAAATGTCTTCAGCCTTTTCAGAGGCTAATGGTCAATACATCAAAACGTGACTCAGGAGTTCTGATTTGAGGCCTCTGATATGGAACCTGGGGCGGGACCCGTGCAACCAGGTTCAGGGAGCACCGTGAATACTAGTAATGGAAACAACCCGAAAGTCCGTGCCAAGGGGTCTGGATAAATAACCTGCGCCGTGCACAGAGAGAAAACCCACCAAGAGGAGGAGGAGGCAGCCTCGTGTTCTGACACGGAAAGACGGTCACACTATACGGAGTGAAAAAAGCAAACCACAGAAAGATATCATGGGACCTCTTTTTATAAACAGAGCCACATGCCCGTGTACACAGAGATGTAAGTTTGGAAACAGTGACACACCAAACTGGAGTGATTTCTTCTGGGCAGTGGGACTGGAGGGAGGGGGCCCTCACTGTTTTACTTTCCACTCCTGAACTGTTGGTGCGTGCGTTACTTCCGCAATCAGTCAACACGAGCCATGGTTGCCTCGAGCTGGGAAAACGGGAGTGACTCCTTATGGGAAGAGGGCTTCTTTCAGGGGTAATAAAAAGGTTCTAAAAGTAATTGTGGCGATGGTTGCACAACTCTGTGAATATACAAAAAACAACAACATTGAATTGTACACTTAAAGTGGGTAAATTGTCTAGCAGGTGAATTATGTCTCAATAAAGCTGCTCCTTAAAAAAACAATTAGCAAGAGGAAAGGTGAGCCCGGGAGAAGAGAGGTACTGGCAAACTCCTTCACCTGCCCTCTCAGGTAATAAACCATAGGGCGTATGGCGGGGGTGGGGGAAGGCATGGTTCCTTGGCCCCCACAATTTCACCCTGGTCAACAGAATTTCTGGACTAACAGCTGAGTCCTTCAAGGTTGTCCTAGAGGCAGAAGAGCCCCCCAGGCAATGCCAGGTTTCCTCAAGGGCACAGCATCCAACGCCTACTTACGCACCTTGAGCAACCATGAGTTTACTCCCTCATGGTTTATGTGGCTCAGAACACACACAAAGAACCCCTCATACAGTGTGGACATGGACCATCCAGACTTCCACTCACTCGTCATAGTCCTGTCCTCTAGGCCAGGTGGAAGGTGTAGGTTGGTGTCACCCCCTCACCTCTCCACATCCTAGTTCCTTCCTAGTCATATAGGTCCTCTGGGCCTGCTCCAGACAGCTCACATCCATCTCATACGTTTGCCAACGCAGAAGGCACAGTCATCAGGGTTTCTAAGACCTCAGGTGGATGCTTGCATCCAGGGAACCAGCATCCACCCTGCCCCACAGGACTGGAGAAACCTCAGAGAAACAGGACCTAAACCACAGCCCCAACTGCCTCCTTCAAACTCCAACACCTGACCACTCTCTCCCCCACCAGAGAGTCAACAGCAGAGAGCAAATGAGAATTCTCAATAACAATAGCAATTGTTGGCGAGCACTCACTTTGCCCCAAGCACTGGGGTGAATTTCTTACCTGCATTATCTCATCAATTCCTTGCACCAGAGCCTAGCAGGAAGCTACTATTATTCCCATTTTATAGATAAGAAAATTAAGATTAAGATGTTGGCCCAAGGTCACGCTAGCTAACATACTATGGAGTCAATGTTGGGACCCTGAGCTGGCCCAAGTCTGGAGGAGATTTGTGGGAAAAATTTGGTATTGTCAGGCCCTCAGAACCAGAAAGGACATCGGCCATCAGGTAATACACCTCCTTCAATTCACAGCTCGGGAAACTGAGACCCAGACAGAGTAAGCAAGTAGCTGCCTGAAGTTGCCCAAGCCGCCGGGCTCCCAGGCCAGGGCTCTTTCCTCCACGCAGGCTCCCTCATGAAAGCAGGAAGGAATCATCCTGCCACCAGCCCCACGGGGCCGCTGGTGTGAGAACAAGCCCGTGCTTGCCAGGGACTTTGAAATCCCAGGATGAAAGGCGCCGTGGCAGCAGAACAGGACTGTGGGCAGGAGCGAGCCTGACCTCTGCCAGGACTTGCAGGCTGGCATTCACCTGCTCACCTGCTCGGGGCGGGCACAAAGCTGCGGGAGCCGCGGGCCAAGCCACAGAACCCTAACCCGCCTCAGAGCTCAGGGCACTGTGGGAAAGGGATGTACCGGTCTCCTGGGCGGAGAACCAGACCCTTGGTAGGGAGGGCTCTGGAATCTTAATTGTCTGGCATGGAGGGGCTCACTGTGAACAAGGTGGAGTGAGGAAGGTGAAGGGTCAGTGGAGGGGGCAAAGACACACCTCATTCCCCTCCAACACAGATTTCTAAGGCCGCTTGCTTCCTTGGGAGGGGGCTGGCGGCTTCTCCTCCTTCCAAACTCCCACCCCCCCCCCAACTTCAGGTGCCCCCTCAGGTGAGCCTGGACCAGGAATTTGAGGCATGTGAAGAGGGTTATTAATAGCACTGAAGTGTAGGGAGGAAAGAGGCCAGCAGGCTGAGTGGGCACAACCCTCTTGCACCCTGCCCGGTGTCCACAAAACAAACCCAACCCTGTCCGGGAGAGGACACCTCACCTTTTGCGGTCTCAGTCTCCTCCCCTGTAAAATGGCCAGGGGAAGGGGGGCGGGGCGCTGGCAGTGCTCAGCCCAGGAGGTGGGAAGAGGGAGAGAGCCAGAGCTGGGGGTGGGGGAAGGAAAAACCCCACCGAAGAAGGCGCAGCACACCCCACCCAGGCCCGGTGAGGGGCCCCCACAGGAGGTCGTGAATGGATGGACTGTTACAGAGCTCCAGGAGGCTGCCACCGACAGGGAGGGGACAGGAAGACTCCACCCCAGCCTTCCTCCTCCAGGCCTGTCCTACCAGGAGGCTTTTCCAGGACTTAACCCCCTGCTGGTCTGAAGCTGGAGAGGGTCTGATTCATTTCTACCTCATCCTCACCCCGGGGCCAGGACTGGCACAAAGGGGAAGCTCAGGCTGAGGGCCCAGGACCAGTCACTGGACAAGCCGTCCCCAGGACCGTCTTTGTGTCCAGCTGGGGAGGGGCCCCGGGGACACGGAGTTAAGGGACACCTGGTCCCTTTTCTCAAGGGGTACGTGCAGGCAGAACACAGCTGCTGAAACTCTCCAGGACTGCAAGGCACATCAAGATAAGTGTAGGTGGACACAGTGCTCTGGGCCCCCTGGACTGGGAGAAGCAAATTCAGCCAAAAGGAACGGTCTCCTCTTTCCACCAGCTGCCCCCGCACATGGACCAGCACCCCGGGCAATGGTGCTTCCTCGATGCCAGGCCGTATGCTAAGAAAGTTACACAAATTAAGTCACTCAAGTCTCTCAACAACTCACTAATGAGGAAGCAATCATTCACCCCAGTTCGAAGAGGAGAAAACCGAGGTGCCAGGACACTGGGAGCCTTGCCCAAGATGTCAGGGCTGGGAAACAGATGCTCGCATTCCGCCCAGGCAGCCTCACCCAGGGCCGGGAGGTGAGCACAGCACGAAGTCTCCCAGGCAGCCTGATACCCTCACCCTATCTCTCCATTCTCCAGGGCTGGGGCGGAGGAACCCAGGACGCTGCTGTAGTCCCCGGGCTTCCCCAGGAAGCCTACGGGGCAGCTGTCCTTCTGAGAAGTGACCACTGTGCAGTGACAGGCTGAGAGCAGGGCTGGCTAAAGGAGGGGGCTGGGGAGGCTGGGCTCCAGCCTTGACCAGCCCCCAGGTAATGGTTGCCAGGAGGAGGACCCTGCTGAGCTTGAGCCAAAGGACAGGGCTTCTGGCCCACCCCCTCCTGTGCACCCCATCTAACCCTGGTCACACTCCCCAGGCGTTGATGGGCCCTGGAAGTCTCAGCCACGTGTACTGGGTCTGCGGCCAAGGCGAGCGGAGGACCGGGACAGCGAGGGAGGAAGGTCAGGACACGCTGGCCGAGTGGGCCTGGAACGCTTCCGGGCTGGGATACCCGAAGTGGCAGGGGGAGGGGGAGGGGGGCCTGCAACCCCTCCACAGCTCCATCGGAGTAGTGTGTTGGGGGATCCGAAGGGACCGGCTCTGAGGGGGTTCGGATAGAGGAGCGGGGATTCGAGTCCCCTCGGGAGGGGGAAGGGCGAGCTCAGAAGCGGATGGGAAGGGGCGCCCAGACGTGGAGAGAATAAGCTCGGACGCAGGACTTGGTCCCCAGGCACTCCCGCCCCGCCCCGGGCCTGAGTCCCCGGAGACCCCAGCCCCGGGGAGGATGGCGGGCCGGGGTGGGGGCGTGGCCCAGGGGCTCCCCACCGGAGCCCGGGCGCGCGCGGTGCGGCGCAGGACTCACCTGCGATGTGCTGGCGCCGGGCATCGTCCAGGTGCGTGGACAGCACGTCCCCCATGGCGAGGAAGAGCCGGGGCCCGAGCCGCCCGCCGCCCACCGCTGCCCGCGCCGCTCAGGCGGACGCCGCTGGCGCCATGGAGCCGCGCCCGCCCCGCTCCCGCCGCTCCCGCCGCCCTGGCTGCGGCCTCCGCTGCGCTCGGCTCTCTGGCTCCGGCCGCGTCAGTCCCCGGCCGCCTCCGCCTCGCGCCCCAGCCCGCGGCCCGGCGGCCCTGCCCCGCCCGGCCCCGCCCCCGGCGCCCGGGCCCGCCCCTCCTCGGCCGCGGGCAGGAGGGCGGGGCAGGGGCAGGGGCTGGGGACGCGGGGACCGCCCGCGAGACAGAGACAAAGACGAGGTCCGCGAGAGGGAGGCCGAGGAGAGCCGCAGAGCGAGGCGCACGGGCCCTGACCCGAACGAAGAAAGAGATGGGGCTGATGGGGCCTCTGAAAGAACCGGGGGTGCCCTGGGGGTCTCCAGCCTGGGTGTCACCCCCTCCCCTCCCCGCGCGGCAAGAGAATCACGCCAAGGAGGTCGTGGGGACCGGTAGGGGTCGCCTAGACCGACGTGCGGGAGCTCAGCGCTCGAGCCCCACTCCCCCCGCCCCGTACCCGCAGCCCCGCCCGCCGCCGCCGGCTTTCTGGAAGTTCCCTGGCCTTGATTCCACCTGCCCCAGAGGTGTGCCCGCCTGTCTTGCACAATAGTGCGAGGAAAAGGGAGGTGGCAGGGAGGGCTCAGGCCCAAAGGCACTCTGGGTCCCAATGCCAGGTGGACATTCCTCAGGCTCCGCGTGTGGGTATTTCACTGGAAAGGTGGCCTTTGAGACAGGGCAAGTCAGAAATGGAAAAAATAATAGCACTTTACCGTTTGTAAAACACTCAGATCCAAAACCCACACACTGGCATGGACTTTGGGTACCCAGCCTGTGGGACTGGGCATGAGTGGGTCATGGGTCCAAAGGAGGGTGTTTCAGTGCTACACCCGGTACCTCCCAAGCTGGTAGGGAAGACAGGTTAATATCTGGGATCCCCAAATCATGTACTGGGGTGACTGGAGCCTTCCTTGGCAGCTGATGCTCAGACGTCCTCTACAGCATCCCACAGGTCACTCAGTTTCTGCTTGCTTACCCCAGGGACTGAGAGCTCACCACTTCTCTGTGCATCCCACCCTGTAATTGGACAGTTCCTACTGCAGCGGTGACATAGGCCAGTAGGTTTGAAGTTGATTAATGTGGTACCAGCACTCATTTTTGCATTCCATGCTTCCCAGTCACTCAGCAAACAGGTAATAAACACCTTCTGCTTGCGAGGCCCTCTGCAAGGTGCTGGGGTTGGAAAGAGAGGATACCCCGGCTGTCCCACCTGCTCTGTGACCCCTGACAAGTGGTATTACTCAAAACCTCAGTTTCCTCATCCGTCAAATGAAAATAATGACGCTTTGTTGTGAGCATTAAATGAGATAATGAAGTGACATAGTGCCTGGGCCAGGATTGGTCATCTCAACAAACAGAACCCATCATTCTATTGTTCATCAGAGTCCCTGCCATCAAGAGAGTATAGAAGCTTGAGGAAGGAGCAGAATATTCTGTTTTGAGGAAAATCACGGAGGGAGTAGTACCAGAACTGCAAGTTGAAAAATCAGAATTTTGACAGCAGATACTGGAGAATAGCATTCCAGGAGGTGGGGACAGCATGGGCTTTGAAGAGCAGGATGTACTCATGAGGCAGAGTCATCAGGTGGAGTTGAAGTCAAGCTGACAGGGATTGCTAGTTTCCTTTTACAGAGACAGAAACTGAGGCCCAGAGAGGGAAAGTGAGTTACCAAAGTCACACAGCAAGGCAGAGGCGGAACCCAGCCAGAGGCCATGCCTCCTGATACCTGGCTCTTTGCACAGCCAGAAGCAAGTGATGCTGCTAGCCTCATTTCATATTTCTTGCGACTCAGGCTATAGGGACCGTAAATGCCTGCTCTGCCCTGGGAGGGGAGAGCTGGAGCTAGCTGGCATCTGGACATCCCAGGGCATCTCTTCAGCCAGCCTAGAGATCTGGGTCACTTGGAGTAGAGGTGGAGCTCAAGCAGCCTTTGCCAGCCTTCACGGTGCACCCAGGCCTGTGAGCCGGGAGCACCCACAGTCTTCCCAGCGTGCCAGGCCCCTAGCCCAAGGACCCTCCCTCTTGGCTTTGGAGACCTTTGGGCACATGTCACCTAGCCCCTCTGAGCGTCCATGGCCTCATATCTGAGAGGCAAATGAGATCGTGAAAGTGGAAAGGCATTATAAACTGTGGGGTGCTGTACACGCATGTGAATAGCTCCCCCTAGACCTTGGGGCCAATCCCTTCCGATTCAAGATTCATTCAGTTCACAAGAAAAAAATTGTATTATCTAGGGGCAAAGTAGCCAGGCCTGGTGGTCTAGTGTTTCGGACTCGGCGTTCTCACCACCATGGCCCGGGTTCATTTCCCAGTCAGGGAATCATAGCACCCGTCTGTCAGCTGTCATACTGTGGTGGCTGCGAGTTGCGGTGATGCTGAAAGCTATGCCACCGGTATTTCAAATACCAGCAGGGTCCCCCATGGTGGACAGGTTTCAGCAGAGCTTCCAGACTAACACAGACTAGGGGCAAGGACCTGACCACCCGCTTCCGAGAAAATTGGCATTGAACACCCTATGAACAGCCTCAGAACACTGTCTGATCCAGCACCGGAAGGTGAGAGGATGGCACAAAAAGACCAGGCTGGATTCCGCTCTGTTGTACGCAGGGTCACTAGGAGTGGGAATCAACTCGACAGCACTAACAGCAAGGGGCAGAGTGGAGGGGAATTGGCTGCAAAAAAAATCGAGGGGGGGAGTTTTGGGAAGAATGGTGACGGCCTATGCCTTGACTGGGGTGATAGTTACACAGGAGTCCATACTTGTCAAGACTCATCAAATTACGCAGCTTAAAATGGATGCATTTTGTTGTATGGAGATTACATGTCAATGAAGTTGATTTAAAAATGAAAAATGAGGGGCCGGCCTGGTGGCGCAGCTGTTAAGTGCGCATGTTTCGCTTCTCAGCGGCCAGGGGTTCTCTGGTTTGGATCCCTGGTGAGGACATGGCACCGCTTGGCAAGCCATGCCGTACGCGTCCCACGTATAAAGTAGAGGAAGATGGGCACAGATGTGAGCTCACGGCCAGTCTTCCTCAGCAAAAAGAGGAAGATCGGCAGCAGTTAGCTCAGGGCTAATCTTCCTCAAAATAAAAAAAAAGAGAGAAAGAAAAATGAATATATGGGGCACCTGCTATGTGTCAGGCGCTGTTGTAGGAGTTGGAGATCTGTCAGCGTGGAAGGCAGTCAAGATGCCCATGCTTGCCGAGGTGCACTCATGCTGGAGAGAGACGGCCTCAGAGAGTGATGTGTTCAGATAATAAAGCAAGGTGAAGGGATAGGGTGACAGACGTGAAAACGTCACCCAGGAAGGTGGTCTAGGAAGGTCTCTCTAACACTTGGAGACCTGACTGGCAAGAAGAATCCTGCTCCTTGAAGATGAAGGAACAGCTACCATGTATGGAGCGTGTGCCAAACGCCAGGGATTAGGCCAAAGGCATTCCCTGAGGCTTCTCGTACAGCCCTCCCATCTGCTTTACTGGAAGACTCACGAATTGTGAGGATTTTTAAAAGATGATATTCCATTGTATGCAGATAGAGTTCTTATTTAAACACTGGCTAGGTAGGGGTGGAGAGGGAAGCCAGGTAGAGGTGTCAGTGTGAGTAAGGGCAAGGGAGCCAGTCCTTGTGGGCCCCAGGGCAAAATGGCGACTCCGAGACTCCTGCAGGAAAGAGGAGAGTGGGGCCCCTGCCGTGGATGGGCGGGACCAGGGGGAGGTTCCCTGAGCATCCAGAACCTAGGATTTTTGAACTTTATTCTGGGAAGATTGTAAAGTTCTCAGCTCTCCACTAGTTTATGTTAATAAATCAGGCCAGTTATGATCTTTGGGTAGGGGAAGAATGACATATTTTGACCTTTTTTTTTTCAAAGGAAAGAAAAATGAATATAGTCATCAGCACTTTATGAGGAAGAAGAAAGGATTCCAGGAAATTAGACCTCAGGATGATTTCTCAACTCTAAAAGATTAGGAGCCCCAGCCCTCACACAGCCTTACTTGAGTCTGTTTAGACATTCAGTTTTGAGTTTTGAGTAAAGTGAAACATCTTTTCATGCATTGATTGGCTATTTGTGGGTTTTTGAAAAATTTATCTCCTCTGCCTGCTTTTCTATTGGAATGTCTATCTTTTTTCTTATTGATTGTTAAGAACTCTTTCTATAGGAAGAATTTCTCAACTCTGCGAGGCACTGGGTAGGGGGGTGTCTCTGCTCTTTGTCTAGGGCTGTGGGTGCCAACTCTGTCCATCAGGCTCTCCCACACCCTGTCCTTGGCCCAGGGCCAGGAGCCTGATGGGAGACACCAGATTTGTGAACAAAGGTTAGGAATGGTCCAGATCTGGAGCAAGCAGGGAAGTTTGCCCCTGCCCGCTTACTGGGCCCGCCCCATTCGGGGCAGAGAATGCCACCTATAGCCCCTGATTCATCAGTCCTTTGTCAAGAAGTGGCTTCTGCCAAGCTGTCGCCCTGCAGCATGGCCCCGCCCCACCCCACCCTAAAGCACCCTTAGAAACGAGGACCCAAAGGTGAAGAGTAATAATACTTGACTTTGAGAGGGAGGATCCAGAAGGTCAGAGCCAGTTCTCAGACAGAGGCTCAGAGAAGGGAAGGGATTTGCCTTCCCTGAGTGGGAGCTCAGGCCAGGACCCTTCCTGGTCTTGGAGAAAGAGGGAGGGGCCCCTCCTTGCCCCATCGGTCCCTCTCCCTCCCAGTTGGCTCAGAGCCCCAGCTCTGCTCTCCCCACAAACCTGTCCGACCTGAAATAGCCCAGGAGAAAAAAAACAAACACCTTGGGTAAACAACAGAGAGTGTGAATGAATCAGGATTTTGTTTTTAAGGAATATCATGTGTCCACAGCTGTTTACCCAGTTGGCACGGCCTGTTGTGCGGAAGGGACCCTGGCACTCTGCCCGGCCCTCCCCTCTTTATTAGCTGTTGAGAGGTGGAAGAGCCTCAGCTCACAGCCTGTTCTATCTGTCATCTGGCCTCTGGCTGCTAACCTCTCTTCTTGCTC